ATTACTTTTTTTTTTATTACGTAAACCTTAATTAACTTTCCCTTATATAATATATTTACGTTAATTATATAGCCCTTTATAAAATTAAAGATAAAGCTTATATCCGTAAAGAACGGGATACTTAATAGTAAATTATAGAAACTTAGAGCCTTAATATTATTAATAATAAAGAAATAATATAAAATTAGAACCCTAATTAATATTATTAAAGCCTAAATTTTATTTATAAACGTAACCGGATTTCTATAAAGGTTTTTAGACTATAGATTCGTTAATATTATTAGTAGATAAAACCTTTTAGCTATAACCTTACTAATTAAGTTATATTCCGAACCTATATTTAATATTATTAATACCTTTTTTAAAATTAATAAAACAAAATTATAATATAGCGATAGGACGTTATAAGTTCGAGTAACGGCTCCTAGGAGAGTTCGTTTATTACCGGAAAGCCGATTAATAAATATAAATAGTAAAGTCCGTAATTATTTTTCTAGGTTATTACCCGGTTAAACTTTATTTTTAATAATCTTCTTTTAAATACCTCCCTCGACTATATTATATTTATTATTTACTATAATTTTATATAAAGTAAAAATAATTTTCCTTTAATTAAACGGAAGAGTTTTATTATATTTAACCGTTTAAAAATTTATCCGAACCGTTAACGGTAAGGCCTCCCCCTTTTATAAAACTTTTTTTTTTTTATCCGGGGTACTTTTAGAAGATCTATGCTACTCGATTACTTTAATATCCTCGACTATACTCTTTACGTAATCTATTAACCGGTAAATAAATATAGGTAAAACCCTATAATATTTTTTTAATATAAACTTAATTTAATTATAGATATATTTTTTAGTTTTTTCGGCAATATAATCCCTAAAGTTCTTTACTTTACTATTAAGTAACCTTAAGCTACTCCGGACTTTATCCCTTTAATCGAACGAAATTCCTTCCTTAATTACCTTTAGTTTCTTTTACGCGGGAGTAAATACTATTTTCGGATTTTCGATTAAAGCTAGGTTATCTATATCCTTTTTCGGTAAATCTTCGATCCTTACTCTCTTTACTCCTTACGCGCTTACCCTTACTTTTACCTTTTAATTATAAACGATTATTAAAGTATTATTAAAGCGCTTTAAAATATTTTTAAGCGATTACTTTTCTATTAAGTAACGTTATAAAATATTTTTAATAATATAATTATTAATTAAATTCTCGTTAAACGATACGTAAGGTTTAAAATACTTATAAAGCTTATTTAATTTAATATCTATAGCCCTAGCTATCTAAGTAATTATTTGCTCCCTCTTTTTAATTAGAGAGACTTCGGGCCTATATCCCTTACCCTTACGAGCTTCTTAATATTTAACTTATTTCGTATAAGCTTTATAGGCCCTATTTAATTTTAATTTTAATAAAATTATAATATAAACTAAGTTACTAACTTTTCTTTTACGTTATACTTTTTTTATATCCTTTTAATTAAACTATATTTTTTTACTCTCCGGCCACTCCTTCTTACTAATATATACTCTACTTCTTTTAATATAATACAATCCTTATACTTTATTATACTCCTTCTTTAAATACTCCGTCGATTTAGCGTAATAATTAGTTTTACTATACTAAAAGTACTTTCTTAATAGGGGAGGGCTATCGCGGTACTACCCTCCTAATCTTCCGAACTAAGTTTTAATATTAATAATAGAAAAAGTATTAAAAAATAAATCTATTTCCTTATTAAAGCTAATACTAAAATCTAAAGAGTAAAATACTTAGTTTTTTAAGTATTAAACGCGGGTCTTTATTATCCTAGATTTACCGTTTCCCGGTATAAAGAAATTACTATAAATATTCGCCCTTAAATACTATAGTACTATCTCTTTATTTATTATAGGATTAACCGCTATATTA